GGAAGATCACTTTGGCAACTGAACGGGGTGGGAAGAGACTTTAGGCAGGCAGGCCAACCAGGAGTTTGTTGCAATAGTCCAGGCATGAGGTGATGAAGGCCAGCCCCAAGTTAGTGGCAAAGTCAGAGAAGAGAAGTGGACATATATTAGAAGATGTTATGAAAGTGGAACAAACAGAATTTACCAACCGATTGGATGTGGGGAAGAGGGGTGAGAGTGAGGAGTTGAAGATGACACCCAGTTTGGGAGTCTGGGAGATTGGGACGATGGTGGTGTCTTCAAGAGTAATGGAGAAGTCAGGAAGAGGGGAGTCTTTGAGGGGAAAGATAATGAGTTTGGTTTTGGACATGCTGGGTTTAAGATGTCTACAGAACATCCAGTTTTAGATGTCCAACAGGCAGTTGGAAATGTAAGAATGCAAGTCAGGAGACAGGTAAGGTCTGGATAAATAAATCTGAGAAGAGTTGGCATAGACAAGATAATTGAATCCATGGGAGTTGATGAAATCATCAAGCAAAATAATACAGAGGAAGAAGAGAAGAGGGCCCAAACAGAATTTTGGCAGACACCCATGTTTTAGCAGGTACTACCTGGACTATGATCCAGAAAAGAACACTGAGAAAGAGCAGTGAGACAAGGAGGAGTAGAACCAGGAGAGAGAATTGTCACAAACACCTGGAAAGAAGAGAATATCAAGGAGAAGAGAGTGATTGACAGTGTCAAAGACTCCAAGAAGGACGAGGATTGAAAAAAGGCCGTTAGATTTTGCAATGAAGGGAGCATTGATGACTTCGGAGATTCAGATTCAATCAAATGATTCGGCTGGAAGCCAGACCAATTAGAGACAGCTTGCACAAAGGGTTTAGCCATGAAAGAGACGAGATGTGTAGGATGACAGCTAGCAGGGACGGGCAGCTCAGCTCAGGGTTTTTTAAGGATAAGCAAAAATAGGTACGTTTGTAGGCATCAGGGAAGCAACCAATAGGGAGAGGGTAAAGATCATTACGATGGCGGGGATAGTGGAAGGGGCAGTCATTGGATGGTATTGAATCACTTGTACATGTAGAAGGGTTTAGCTTGGCTTCCTTTTGATGTGAAACCTAGGTAAAGGGGGAGATAGTGGTGAAAGGGATCTGAATGATATGTGAAGACAAGAAAGGGAGAAGAGGGAGCTGTTGGTGAATAGTCTCAATTTTTTCAGTGAAATTTGAGGCTAAGTTCTCAGTTGAGAAGGTTGGGTGAGAGGCAGCCATAGGAAGTTTGAAGAAGTGTTGAAAAGGCTTGGAAAAGCCACTTATGATGAGTGGGATAGAGAATTGATTAGGGAAATGTAACTAATTTACAGTGGGCCCAGTCAGCATGCTTTCTTGATTTCCCTCAGTTTCATTCAACAGCATAAGAATAGGAGAAAAAGCAGAGGAGAGTGGCAGTAAACCTGGAATGGGGCTTTCCAAGGCATCATTGGTGACAGGATGAGAGGTTAAGTCACTCTAAAGTAGAGAACAGTGTGGAATTGAATTGGTTTATCAAGAAGTCCAGATGGGGAAGATGGTAACCATCACTGGATATTGTGGCCAAGGATGCCATGTCATCATGTCATCATAAGGGAGTCAGGTCTCTATGAATGCTAGAAGATGGAAAGAGTGGGAAAGTAAGAGGTTTAAGATAAAAGCAAGTTTAAGTATGACTGGAGTAAGCATTCTAGAAAGCACAGTAGAAGAGGTGGGTAGATCTGGAGGAGGACAGTGGAGGTGATCCAGATGGGAGTAAGAGAACAGGCAGTAGAGGGAGTGGATTGGGGTTTGTATAATAACAACCAGGAAGTTCAGTATCACTAGAATGGGAAGAGTAGGATATGGTCAGAGCATGCTAACCATTGAAGATGAGTTCAGGCAAATCATAACTGAAGAGAAGTATATGGAAGGAAGACAGTGATCAGATGAGGGCCCTCCCTGGATGTCCAGCCTTGTGGCAGGTGGTGATGTCAAGTCCTGTGAGGTTCAGAAAGCCCACCTCATAGCAGGCAGGAGTAGCTGAAGGTGTATTTCTAGGGGAATTGGGACAGGAGGCAGTCTCTGGCAAGTTAAGGTGGATCTGCTCTGGAAATGGCTAGTAGAACACTTCAGAAGGCTTTGGGATGAAGATAGAGGCCTGAGGCCTGAAACCAGGCCTGAAACAGGGTACCTTGGCCCAGACCCAGATCTAATAGGCCAGAGGAAGGAAGGATGGATTAGGGTTGATGCAAAATCAGAGGTCACAGGTGGTCTGGGGCTGGATCATAGCAAAATAGTACTCCCTATAAAGTCCTAGAGGCAAAAACTGGTAGGCCTGGGATGTGCCTAGGCCTGGGCTGACAATGATTTTGACAGAAGTTACTATTATTAGGGGAGGGGAGGGTAAGACAAAATCTTTTATAGTAATTAGGAGAAAAAAAAATCTGTTGTACTTTTGACAAACAAGTTTATAAGGCTACAAGAGGCATTGCTTGAAATGATATGCAACACAGATCATTCAACAGTTAACATAAGATGTCCTTAGATATTGCAGGAAAGTGCTATTCAACAAGGAGAACACCCCCAAGTTGATTCATCTGAGTAAAGCTCCTCTCCCTCTGAGTTGCCCAAGGTGGTCTGCCAGCCAAGCATCAGAGAAAGCCTGGAGCTCCTCCTGGCGATTTTGTACTCAGGCAACCGGAAAGTTCTGTAAACCACTTGAGCCTTTAAGTTCCCTGAGCCAATTAAGTCTCTAGGTTGGTTTCATCGCTAACCTAGCTTGCAAGGGGGTGGGGTGGGGGTTAGGGTATTGCTCCTACCACACCTACCTTTACAACCTTATTAAACATTATTTTTCTTCCCACACACTGTTGTTCATGCAAAAAGCCTTCTTACGGTTACTCACACCCAACATTTCATTTCTCTTCCCTGGCTTTGCCCAGGCAGTTGGATGTCCTTTTCCCTGGAATACACTTCTACCTCCCCTCTGCCTCTTAGAATTTTGTTTCCTTTAAAACTCAGCTCTGTCAACATCTTTTATGCACTTTCCTGATTTCCCCCTGCTGCTAGTGGTTCCCTGATTTACCCTGTAGCTGTCTTGTATACACACATACTTTCAGAGATACTTGTTCGTTTCCAGACTACCTCCATAAAACAATATGCTATATCGAATTTTTTTGTTTCCCAGTGCACACTAAAGTTATACTTACACTATACTGTAGTCTACTAAGTGTGCAGTAGTATTATGACTAAAACAAGTACATACTTTAATGACAAAATACTTTCTTTCATAGTTAGTCTTTCATAACATGGCTATTATGGAAGTGTTGTATAACCTATATGGAATTGCTTGCCTTCTCAATGAGGGTAGTAGAGATGGAGGAAGGGAGAGAATTTGGAACTCAAGGTTTTAAAAACGAATGTTAAAAATTGTTTTTTACATGTAACTGGGGACAAATAAAAATACCAAATTAAATTTTTAAAAATATTTTATTTCTAAAAAATGCTAACCATCATCTGAGCTTTCAGTGCGTGGTAATCTTTTTTGCTGGTGGAAGATCTTTTGTCTCCGTGTTGATGGTTGCTGACTGATTGGGGTTTTGGTTGCTGAAGGTTGGGGTGACTACAGTAATTTCTTTAAATAAGACAATTATGTTCCCTGCATCTATTGACTTTTCCTTTCACAAAAGATTTCTCTGTAGCATGTAATGCTGATTGATAGCATTTTACCCATAGTAGAACATCTTTCAAAATTGGAATCAATCCTCTCAAACCCTGAAGCTGCTTTATCAACTAAGTTTATGGAATATTCTTCAATATTTTTGTGTCTTGGAGAATAGCGAAGCCAAGGAGAGCTAGACAGATAGAGAACAAGCCAGTCGGTAGAACAGTCAGAACACACATTTATAGATTACGGTCCTGTTTTATACAGGCGCTGTTCTCAGAGCCCAAAAACAATTACAATTATAACATCAAGATCACAGAACACTTTAAGAGACAAAACGATAATGAAAAAGTTTGAAATATTGGGAGAATTACCAAAATGTGACACAGAGACACAATGTGAGTACATTCTTTTGGAAAAGTGGTTCTGATAGACTTGTGCAAGGCAGGTTTGCTGCAAACCTTGAACTTGTAAAAACCAACAAACCACAATAATCTGCCAAGTGATAAAGCGAAACTCAGTAAGATGAAGTATGCTTGTACTGGTTTTATGTATACATTGTTTCCCCTGGTTTTTTACCAGTCCCCTTGAAGTCAAGGATTGCTTGGTTTTTGTCTTTGTGTCACACCCGGTGTCTAGCGCAATGCCAAGCACATTGTACATGCTTAATAAATACTAGTTGATGGATTGATATCTGGTACACTGAAGGAAATAATCCTTGGAGAGAAACCTTCTCCCTCTAGTCTACAAAACCTTAAAGTTCCTACACGAATTAAAGTGAAATAAGCAGAACCAGGAAACAATACACCCGGTGGCTAGAACAATGAAAAGCCCAACAAAATAATCAAAATGAATCCTGGGGAATTATGACCAAACTTGAACCCAAAGAAGAAACAGGAGAAGACGTAACCCCTCTTCCCAATCCCTAACTGCTTCTTTGCAGGGGATGCGGGGGTGCGGGGGTGCGGGGACTATGGTTGTGAAAGATCACACATCAGATTTTTTTTCTATATGTTGGTTAACTGTGCTGAACTTTATTCTCTCCTCTTTTCATTCTTTATTATGAGGACAATATAGAAGACGTAAAAACAAGAAACAAGAACAAAAATTAAAACGAACTCGAAAATCCCACAAAGAAAACAAAATTACAGCCCCCGTGTGCCTTGGTGAAAACTCGATCTCCACTGCATCTCGTCCCATCCCCTTTAAAACCCAGAGACTACATTTCCCAGAAGTCCCAGCGCCCATGAAGAAGGCGGCACTTCCCAGGCGCCCCCTCGTGGGCGACGTCTTTCGGAGGGATCTGGTGGGTTCCCGGCGGCCCTCGCGAGTGGTTCCGGTCTCGCTGAGTGCAGGAAATGGCCGGGGCTAGCTCCGCCGCGGTGTCGGGGGCCGGTACGCCGGTGGCCGGGCCCTCGGGCCGGGACCTATTCGCGGAAGGGCTGCTGGAGTTCCTGCGGCCCGCCGTGCAGCAGCTCGACTCTCATGTGCACGCGGTTCGGTGCGAGTGGGGCGGGGTTTGGCTTTTCCGGGGGCGTGGGAAGGGGGCGGGTCTGTCGGACCGGCTGAAGCGGGGCGCTGGACCCCGGGGGCGGGGGGCGCCGGGGGCTGGAGGCCGGATCTGGACCCTAGGACCTCGGGGGCAGGGGCGCGGAGGGCTGGAGCCGGAGCCGGAGCAGAGGCGAGAGCGCCAGCCGGTACCCGTCAGCCTCGGTCTGCCCAGACCAGGCCGTTGGGGCATTGGGCGAGCCGACGGAGACTGACCGGGGCCGGGCCTTGTCTCCCTTCGCAGGGAGAGCCAGGTGGAGCTGCGGGAACAGATTGACAGTTTGGCCACAGGTGAGTGAGCGGACGCCTCCGGGTCCCGACAGGCCACGTACCCCTCCTTTTTTCCAATCCCCCGCATTTGGGTGTAATAATCCTGTTCTAGGGCCTGGATTTCCTGTGCCCCCTCTCCCGGCTCTCAAGACAGTGCCTGCTCCTTGACTCACGCCCCAGTTAGAACCTGTTCTGGTGGTTGCCCCGCTGTGTGAACATCCCCACTTTCATTGAGGCTGTTAAGGGCAGTGCCCCCTTCCCCTTTTGCCCTGCAGAACTCTGCAGAATCAATGAAGACCAGAAGGTGGCTTTGGACCTGGATCCCTACGTGAAGAAGCTCCTCAATGCCAGGAGACGAGTCGTCTTGGTTAATAACATCCTACAGAATGCTCAGGTAGGGGAATCTCAGGACGCCCACTTGAAGGTTTTCCCTCATGATTTTGCAACATCCTGGGGTATCTGCCACCTCCAAGTGTATATAAGAGGCAGGCAGTTTCCCAAACTATTAAAATATGCATAAAAGCAGTTAAGATTTTAAAAGATGGAAAAACCAAACCTCTTCATTTTACAGATGAGGAAACTGGGTGCCTTGTTAGGATTCAAACCATGGTCTACTGACTCCAGAGACAATTGAATTATATAGATTTCTTAGTTCAAACCTGTTAATTCATTGGTATAGAAAACTCAATAGTATGGAAAAAATTCCTCCATAAATATAAATTGGCACTTCACTTGTAATTTATAATCTGTTACCTGGGGATACCAAGTTATTTGCAGTCATCCAGCTAACATATGTAACATAGGAACTGAACCTAGCTCTGATGGCAAGGTCAGCCCTCTATTCGCTAAAAATCATTGCTATTTTAGGGAATTATCTCAAAAAAGTTTGGAAGTTATTGTTCCCAGTGCCAAACTTAGCTTGACCTTGTGAACAATGAGGTGATACAAAGAGCTTTTAGGGAGAAGATTGGAACTCCCAGATCATTCTTATCCTGCTGCCTGAACTCGACTTTTTTCATTCTTTCAGGAACGGTTGAGACGGTTGAACCACAGTGTTGCCAAGGAGACAGTTCGACGGCGAGCCATGCTAGAGTCAGGGGGCTACCCTTCTGGTTCCCCAAGCAAATAATGCTTCTCAGAACAACCATGAGTCCTGTTCTCTAATTGCCTTGCTTCAACTTTAGACTTCAACTGTGACTCTAGAAGACACTGAATCTATTGACCTGGAAGGAAATGGAGTATTTAAACAGCTGCTTTGCCATTTGTGTTTTGAGCACTTGGGAGCTTGATTAACCCATTTTGATTGGGTCACCAGAAGTAGCCCCTTGCCTGAATTCAGGCTGAAAAAGTTCCATGAGAATCAGTTCGTAAGTATTCTAGTTTTTAAAGAGCTGTTTATAAAAGAGTGCAGGCTTATACAGGGAAAAGCTGCAGACTCCAGATCCACCCAGCACCCTGAACCTGGGTGGCTTTTTTCCTGCTAGGTGCTAAGTTGCTCATCCCTGGACAGCTTCCCTCATAGTGACTTGTACTTTTTCCTATGCTTGCACTGAGGATTTGAGGGGAAAGGATCTTGGTGAAGAGGCCTTGCCCATCCACCCTTCTGTTGATTGCACTAGCTTTTAGCTGCCACAGCAGCATTTCTGTCAAGTGTACAATTCAATAAATGTCAGAGTATTAATGCTGTAATGCTGTATTAGGTTTACTCCAGGATGATAAGTAGGTGGGGACTAGATTCTCAGGCTTTTAAAGATATTAATTTTCTGTGCCTCTCTTTCTGGAGTCGGTCAGATTTCCAATCATGACTGCTGCACTTGCCTGGAAGGGGAGACTGAGGAGAAGAGGGGAGTGTTATAATGGATTAAAATCTTTGCTTTCCCCAAACTGTAATTTGGCAAGAAGCCTGTAAAGCAAACATCAAAACTAAGCAAAGAGAAAAGTTCCAATATTGTTAGCTGCAGGAAGGAAAAGAACCTTAGAAGGAAAGACTTTTAATAGTTTCTAAATTAAAAAACCAAAAACAATTTTCAGACACTAACAGTTCACAATAATTTCAACAAAAAAAAATTCTGGAAGGTTTTGGTCTCGGTAGGATTTCCAGAGTTGGTTTGTTCTGTGGGAGGGATTAGAGGTGTGTGTAAATCTATAAAAGAACAAAGCGTAGGAAGGCTGATACCTTCCCTTTGTGGCACAGGCCACGTAGCTGAGTCAACGGCGCATCAAATCACCTACAAGACAATGCTTCTCTCTCCATAGCTTCCAGAGGGTTTTCAGCCTTATTTTTTCGTCCCACAATTCCCTTGACCTCACACATGCCACCACTCAGGCTCCACAAAGGATGCCTGTTGCCTTTGGTAGCCCAGAAAGAATCAGAAGGAATCACTCTTGGGTCTCCATGCTCTCTTCTTCCTCTCCTTGAGGTGGCTCCTCTGCATTCTCTTCCTCTTCCTCACCTTCCTTCTTTTCTGGAGGCTTTTCATAAGCCTTTTCAGAAGGTGTCACTATCACCCCATCCCAAGTAGACATTTCTGAGGCAAGATCTAAAAGGAAAAGAGGCTGAATTAAGAACCTCAGGCAGCAAAGTCAGGGAGTCTGCTTTGTTGTGAGATAATGCTGTACCCTTTTGTGCCATGTAAGACAGTGGCAGTTATATCTACATGTCTCCTCAACAGCACAAAAGCCTATCTGCCATCCAGACTCAGTAAACAAGTACTTAGCCCTAATAGACACTCACAACTGGCATCACCCTCCTGGCCAAGGATCTTCCTATATCCTCCATGTGACAGGATACGAACCAATGTCTGAGCCGTATAGCATACCATGTCCTGAATGGGAACAAAAATGAAGATCAGTCAGAAGATGCCTGCCAAACTCACACCATTCAGGATGGAATGAGGGGCTTACTCTTAAAACCACAGCTGAAGTCTACTTCAACGACTACCTCCACTGGCCCCTTTATAAAGATTGCATTCCCCCAAATTAGTAAAGGGCTAAAAGGAAATCTGACTTGTGATTGAGAGAAGGGCTAAGGGTCCAAATAATTTTCTATCAGTTCCCATTACCTGTTGTTCCAGGGTCATGACTGTGTGTACCCGGAAGTTACCACTTTCACAGGGGTCAGTAATCCCTACTGAACCAGGAAGAAACAACCCAGCAGCCAGAATCTGAAGGCATCGCCTAGGATATAAGGGAAAGTGTTAAGAGTTGGCAAAGATAGGTCAATCACTCTAAGGAAATCAGGGTAGCTCCTAGGAGCAAGCTCTGTACCTATAAGCCACATTGAGGGCCAAGGGCTGTCTGGTAGGGTTATTCATCACAGCATAATGACCCTGGAAAAGAAAAGCATTTGATAGGAAGAACTCAGAACCAAACTGATAAATTTACCTTTTAACTAACCTAAAGTCATCTTAGTGCAGTAGGTGAGACAAATCATGAGCAGAAAGAATCTCAAATTTCTGTTTCTAGGTAGCTATGCCCTGAAGGCAAGGACTTCTTATGCCCCTTCTGTCCATAACACTTACTGAATTATCAACAATGGATCATAATTTTAATTTATTTGTCTACAATCTGACTTAAGTCTCAACAAATTTTTTCAGATTCTGACGGCTTTCAAAGTTACTACTATCAATAAATACATAGAACTTCAGCGGTCACCTTTGTTGTTCCTTTTTCCCTTTCGAGTCAAGTTCAAACTTCTTGGCCTGGTCATCCAACACTACACCATCTGACAACACTCTACCGCTCTAGTCTTCTCTCATGTTACTTCCCTCTGTGCTTTCTAGACTCTAGCCAGCCATGATCACTGCCCCTGAAAACACTGTGTGTTCACTCTTTCCTTTTGCTTAGGCTGCAGTTCTCTGTGCCTGGAATACATTCTTAATATTTTTTAAAGCCTCCCTCTAGTGCCTGCTGCCTTGCTTCACCTCCTCTCCTCTCTCAGATGCACCCACCTTGGTCAGGAAAGAATACCTACTTAAAAGCCCACACTGCACCCTCTTGTACTGTAGTCCTGAGTTGGTGTCATCTTCCTGTTAGACACTATGCTCTATGAGAGGAGGTACTATCTTACCTAAAAGCTATACTTTCCCCACAGTGTACTAACACAATGCTTTGCACATGATAAATAATATCTACCATTTATAGAACCCTTAAAGTTGCAAAAATGCTTTACGTTCATATATACATGATCATATTTGATCCTAATGACAACCCTGTAAGGTAGGTACTATTATTATGACCGTTTTACAAATAAGGAAACTGGTTAAGGGAGTAAAGTGACTTGATAAAGGTCACATAATAAATATATGAGGTAGTAGTCAAACTCTGATCTTCCAAAGTCTAATTTCAGCACTCTTAACAAGTATGTATAAATTAAAAAACCCAATTGCCCCTTCTTTCACCTACCAAAAGATCAAGGATCCAAGGTGTGAGAGGTTCAAAGCCAGGGAACCGAATCCTCAAATCCTTTAGTAGACGAATGAGAACTTTCACCCTAAGGGAAAAAGGAACCCTAGGTCAGCAGGGACAGTATATTGGACCCTAACCTTTTAAATGCTAGACAAGATTTAAGGGAGTTAACTACTACAAGTCTCATTTTTCTTATATTGCATAAAGTAAAAATGACATGCCTAGGGAAGAACTGGAAAAAAAAAATGAGTCAGTTTCAGGGATTCCTACCATCCCCCACATCTCCTGTTTCATTGCTGATACCAAAAATGACAAAAGGACTGAGGTAACCTCATTGACTGGGTTGACTTACGTAGACTGAGAAGCATTCTCTTCAAACCAACGAGCATGCCTAATGGCTGCCAAAGCACTTTGCAGAACCTTGATGTCCACTGGGAAAGAAGAGATCGAGCTGATGTCTTAAATAAATACACTGTCCTGTGAGCAACCTAATTCCACTGTCACAAAATTTTAGTCACTGGGAAAAGGGAGGGCATCTCACACTTGCTCATTCCTTGACTTCTCAACCTAGGGAGCAGGATGGCTACTGCACTATTTCTAAATTACAAACTTTCCTATTCCGCCTCAGAACCACTCTCATATAAATTCTCACTTCTAAAACCTCCCCAGTGGGCAGGTATACTTATTCAGGACTTACAAAAGTCATGTAAGAAATCCAGTGACTTCTTCAGTCACAGGATGAGTCAAACACTAACTAGATAGAACATAACATCGAGCATGCTGGCTAGCAAACAGCAAGCTCACCTGTACCCAATGCTTCTAGGTCACAAAATTCCCTGGCCAAGGAGCTGCTTGACTTACAATGTAGTTCTGGGTCCAGTTTTCGAAGATTAGGTGGCACTGTTGTAATGAGAATCTTGACTGTGGCATCGGCAGAGCTGATCTCAAAGCCAGTTTCATTGGTCAGCATAGTCAAAACTGAAGAAACAAAAGGAATGAAAGTCTTTATCAGATGGGCAAAGTATTGGAGAAGAGGAGGTTGGGAGTGGAAAAAAGTCATCTTTTCAAATAATTCTGTAGTAGAGTTCAGAACAAGAACTTAGAACAAAGAGCTTGAAGTTGGTTGGGCCAGGGAACCAATTTTCACAGCCTCTGAGAAACCACCATCCCTTACTGATGGTTTTATTTGCCTAATTTGAATGATATGTACATTGCATTCCATATAGTGCTCAGCACCAATGAGAATTCAATATATATTATGTAATAAAGCCAAACCTTCTGCAGGATCCTGTGCTCTAAGACTTTCCACCACTTTGTTCCCCAAAGCTGCAACAGCTTCCACTAGACAAAAGGAAAAGTAGAAAATAAATACCCCTCTAAAACCACTATCTGTTATTTCTGCAGATCACCTAGCGCTTTACTTATGTACCATACCTAGAAAACAAGGTATAAGCAAGGATTATCTAACATTGTAGAAAATCCCAGTCCTCATAAGGAAAGTAATAAATTATAAAGCTCAAAACATTCCAGCCTCCATCCCCCTCCCCCTGACCAGTACTTATTTACATTTCCCAAATTCCATTCCCATTTTTATTTCCAAGCTCTCTACTTTTTTCAGTTAGTATTTATTAACTTTACAACATACCCGAAACCCTAATCCCCCTCCAAATTAAATAATCACAACTTCCTTTTTCCCCTCCAACCTCCCCAGGTCCCTCTCTTTCCTCAAATTCTCTCTCCTGTAGTTTGGATCTTGAGCCCACAATGCCTCAAACACAACCCCAGCTGGTTCCCAGGACCAAGAAAGCTTGTCACCCACATGTTGGCAGGATCTTCAGAATCACTACCAGATCAGCCACATTATGCCCTGTGGTCATTGTCCCTTTCTTGTAAGATCCCACTTGCCGGACTTCTTCAATTTGCTGTTGGAAAGGGGAGAGAGGAGAGGTTAATATCAACAGAAAAAAGAACTATTGAAATCACAAAAGTGAAAATAGAAGAAAAGATCTAATTTCAGTCTTTTTATTTTACATAGTATATTATACATATCATATGACTCATTAGCAAGATTAAAATATACTATCTTAAAATCAAAAAAGCAAAAAACACATCCATGTTATAAATAAAAACTATATGTAAGCCTCATTATCATCACAGATAACCTGTTATATTAGTATTTATCCTGTCAATCAACACCAAGAATATTAAAGAGATTCCACTGTATCTTCCTTAAAAGCAGCTAGGTGGTATAAGTGAATACTGTAGGACTTGAAATCAGGAAAACCTGGTTGAATCCTGCCTCAAACACTTACTAGATGTGTGACCCTGGGCAAATCATTTTAAGTTATCCTAGCCTCAGTTCCCATATTTGTAAAGTGGGAATAATATCACCTCTTATTGTTGTGATCAAAAGAGGTAACATATGCAAAACGCCATATAAAAGCTAGCTGTGAGGTGAAAAGAGGCCTAAGGAAACTGTCACAGATCTAAGGCTATCTTCCTCCCGGGCCTCAATCAACAAAAACTTACCACCTCAAAGGTCCCTGGAGCCACAATCAAGTTGTCAATTACATTGTTGATTTTTGTTACTAAAGAAAGGATGGATGCCTGAAAAATAACATGAAATATAAAAGCCCAAGGTTAAAAAAAATCCCAAAAGTGTGTCATTGCCTGAATAGCTGAACTAGACATTATGGGTGACAATCCCAGGTCTCAGAACTTGAAAAAAAAAAATTGTTACTTTGGGGTCTGAATCAAGATTCAATTGTTAAAGAAGGTATAGCAATTTAAATTTGGCTGGACTGGAGAGTTCAAGGAAAGTAGCGTACAATTAAGGTGAATAAGATGGGTTGGGGCCACATTCTGAAGCATTTTAAAGGCTAAACAGAACTTATATTTAATTCCAGACGCAAAAGAGTTATTGAGTAGGGAAGAAATATAGTTGGACCTACACTTTAGGAAAATGAAATTCACTTCTTTCTTCTCAATACCTTCTTCTACCCAAAATGAGAAAGCTGAGAAACAACCAAATGTAAGTCTCTGCAACTATTCCCAACACCATCTTCGGCTATTCACTGTAAACTATCAAGGGAAAACATTGGGAGGAGCTCTACAACAAACCTGTTCAGCAGAGTTGGGAGCAAGGTCCTGATTCCTCTTCAGTAATGCCTCACTGAAAGTGGTTTCATCAGGTGCAGGTTTGACTCGGGGGAAGGCCATTTCACACTGAACCAGAAAGAAGTTGAAATGACAATAGGAATTACAACAATTGCTAGAGACAGAAAATGATACACAACAAACATCCTGGGAAGGAGTTAGTGTATTCTACCAGACATCAAAAAGAAATAAAGGCAGTAAAATTCCAGAGTAGTATTTTATATAAAGTCAACAATCTCTATCTTCCAAAATATCATGACATCTTATTAACAGATCATCAAGGAAAAGAGAACTCAAGGTATCCAGAAAAGGCAAAAAACAAGTGACAATATCATGAATTTCTGCCAACAGCAGCCATGGTTATACCTTCTCACTCTGCACAGCCTCTTTCTGTATGAAAGAAAATACAAGTGGACCTCAAACCCTTCCCCCAAACCGTATTTCTACCCAAATGAACTTGTGACTACACATCAGAGCACCATGGCTCTGCCTCTACAATTATGATAAGCAGAAGTGGAAGACCCAAGTTAAATTAAAGTACCAAACTCACCACATAGAAATCAAATGGGATGTGTGGCACAAATGGCCTGAACCTTTTAAAAGAAAAGAAAAGAAAACAAAGTCATTTCCCAGAACCAAATGGACGGGACTTTCTGACACATCTGCAAAAAGAAAGCATATGTAAAATAAAGAAGGCATCAGTAAAAAGGAGTTTTTTTAAATAAGGAAAGTACTCATTTTTGCTACTCAGTAAAAGTCTATCCTTTTATCATGACATCATATTCACACTTGAATAAATATGAAGTTTTGCACAGTTAAAAAACAAAAAGCAAGTGTTAGCAATATAGAACTTAAGATTCTTAATTTCTATGTGGCATCTAGCACTATCTGCCTATATAACCTTATTCTGATAAGATTAAACATTAAATGCTCGGAGCATTGGTAGCATTGGTAGTGTGAAGACTTAATAGGAGATACTAAAAATTTATACTAGCTTCACACCCACTCATTCACATAAGCTTGTAGTTTCCAGGATATGTATTATCATCCATATATAGTTAATGAGCAAACATCTCTGCAGCTACTAGAGACCTGTGTAAACAACTACCGCTCACAAATGGCAACAAGGCCACCTGAGGTATCTCTCTCAGCATGGTGGGAATGGAACCAAAAATCAACCCACTGCAGGAACAGTTCAACAAATATTAAGCACATATGTAAGACACTGAGCATGCTAGGCCCTCATTAAACTATCCCCACCTTCAAATATCTTACAGTCTCACGGGGGAAGAGAAGGGAAGAAAGAGAATGACAATACATACACAAGTAAAATTGAAAGTTACAAAAAGAACTAAACAACTATAGAGAGGGAGAGATGGAGATCAGGAAAGACCTACAGGAGTAGCCCCTGAATTTAGCTCTGAAAGAAGCTAGTAATTTTAAGAAGTAGACATGAAGAGAGATAACATTCCAGACACAGGGAACCACCCATGCAAAGGCACAGAGGCAGGAAATGAAATATTATATACTGTGAATAGCTAGCAAGCCAATTTAACTAGAAAAGGGATAGGGTGAAAAGAAGTAATATAAAATAAAACTGGAAGGCAAGAGGAAGCCACATTGTGGAGGGAGCCACGTTGTGGTGGGCTTTAAATATCAAAGCAGAGTTTGTATTTTATTCAAAAGGCACATGAAGATATTAAAGATTTTTGAATAGGGGAGTCACATGGTCAGATCTGTAAATTAGGAATCAATTATGCAGCTGCAGATGACAGAGTAGAAACACTAGAACCAGGGATACCTATTATGAGGCTATTACAATAATCTGGGGAAGATGTGATAAGGACCTGAACTTGGATAGAGGCAATGTGAAAGAGAACAGAAAACAGGATAAGTGCAAGATGTCACAGAAACAATTGGGAGGAGAGAGTTGTCTGAGACAGAATATGGCCTCATAAAAAGCAAGCAATATTTATTTACCCACTCCAAAGCCTCTATTGTAAAACGACTTAGACTAGAAAATAATCAGGTAGTGGAAAACACACCCATCTGGTACTCAAAGGTGGTACTAACCCTCCTCCTGGTCCTCCCCTGGAGCCAAAGCGCCCTCCACGACCACGGCCTCGATCACCCCTATAAATAAGACAATCGAATTGTTATGCAGAGTGAAGAAACCAATAACATCCTCACCATAGACTGATCCAAACCTATCCCAGTTTCTTTACCCCATGTTATCAGTTAACTTAATTCAATGCGTATTCTGCTTAACCAACCTCTCAAACATTCAACTCAACAAGCATTTATTTTCAAAAATCTTTTTTATTGATCTTCTGTTTTTACATAATGCTTATTTCTGAATATATCCCTCCTTCTTCCCCTATCTAGGATAGCACTGAGAGAGAATTAAGAGAAGAGTTATACAAACTCCACCAACACATCCCCAGCATCTGGCAGTATATGCAAAAATACTGCACTACAGTGCTCAACAAACATTTATTAATGTAGAGGTTGCTAGTCTAAGTAAATAAGGATGCCAGAAAGATCTGGTTCCAAGTCCTGCCTGAGATACATACTCGCTGTGTAACCCTGGACAAGTCACTCAACTTCTTCAGTGCCCGAGGCAACTCTAAAACTAATAGGTGGCAACCTGCATTAGCAGGGGAAATGCCTTACTGGGAGTTCCCTACCAGGGCAAGGAAATCATACGTGCAAGGAGTTCCCTGCTCCAGGTCCAGATGCTGAGGATGGGAGCAGCTCTAGACCTCAAGGAGCTTACATTCGTTTTACTGGGGAATGCAGGCATAGTTTGGTTGGTATAGAATTAAACTTGTAAATTAACTTTGGTAGTATTTTGTTACATTGGCAGGGCCCAGCCATGAGCACTGAATATTCCTCCAGCTATTTAATTTGCTATTTATGTCCATGAGCACTCTGTAATTGAATCTGTATATAAGTATTTTGTGTTATGGTATATTTATTCCCAACTATTTTATATTTAGCTAAATGAGATTTCCATTTCTATTACTGCCCTGCAAGATAACTTGATGAGAAAGACAAGATGAATGGGAAAAACTCAGAAAGGGCTTCCTTGTAATAAGTGTCACCCGAGGCAAGGACTCCAGGCGCTCTGCCTCCCCTGTCCCCTGAGACGACGACTCGACTCCCTCAGCCTTAAGAGGTAAGAGCTCCCCTGGGTTTCTCCCTCCCCCAACAAAATTCTGGGCTCTGCCATGAGTCCATCCCTCCCCCACCCGGCCTTGGGACCTTGGGATCCAGCCAAGTCCTGGACACCCGTCCCTCCAGCTTGCTGGCGCTCTGGCCTCACTGCCTCCAGCCTTGGTCCTCATCCCCAGCTCTAGGTCTCCCCTGGAGCCCCCCGGCGTCTCACCTCATGGTTCCCACAGTCTTGAACAATGGAGGCCCCGCCAACCGCCCCTTCCTCTGAGGAGCCAACAACCGGAGAGGCTGCTTGCCGGCACGTTCCAATAAGACCGGTCGCTATTGGCTCCTGCGTCATTCCATCGTCCACGCCCATTGGTCTCCTCGGGCAAGCAGAATTATCAGCCATTGGGAGAGCCTGCTGTACTGGGAAACAACCAATGAGAATCAGTTTGATGAGAAGCGGCGACAGGAGCTACTTGTAGAACATTCGGCAGGAGGCGCTGTGGAAAGAATCATGTAATGTTCACACACACACACACACACACACACACACACACACACACACACGCAAGTAACGTTCTACACTCTTTATATAGGATCTATCCAACCGTTTTAGCGACTAGCAGAGTGGCGCAGCGGAAGCGTGCTGGGCCCATAACCCAGAGGTCGATGGATCGAAACCATCCTCTGCTAGGGTATTTTTTTTTTTTTCATTTTAAATGTGAATATTTCCCCCCCCACTTCAAAGTAGTGCTACCTTGTAGAAGAGAAAGGATAATCTCGAACATGAATTGTAACATGTGTTATTTGTCTGAATTTCATCCACATAAATATAAGGATAAGAAGGAGAGGATGAAAACTAGAGGCAAAAAGAGGAAAAGACCCGAGACCCAGAAATTGTAGGATTTTAAGAGGAAGGTGGGATTCCAAGGCAGGTTGTGAAGGAATGGAAGATTGGAAGGCAAACTGAAGCAGCAGGAATAAATGAAGGTGACGAAGAGGCTGGCAAAGAATTCATTTTAACGAGCATTGATTAAGGCCCTAGCGTGTGCCAAGCACTGCACTAGTTGAAGATGTGATATAAAAACAAAAATGAAGCCGACCCAGACCTCAAGAACTTACATGGAGAGGGGGCGGGGGGGAGGGGACCATGTACACAAATAAGTAAATACAACTATTTACCAACAAAGACAAAGTAATAATAGTGGGGGAATAACAACTGGGGGGTTCAGGAATGCCTTCTTGTACACGGCAGCTCTTAATGTGAACCTTAAAGAGAGCCAGGAGAGCAAATAAAGAATGCTGTTTGATAGGAGAGGGTGACAGGGGACAGGAATGCTTCGGAAGCCTGACAGGCTAGCTTGGAGGCAGCTTGTGAAAGGCTTTAAATGCCAGTCAGAAGGGTGGGGTTTTCATCTTAGAGGCAACGGGAGCCACGGAAGCTTCATGAGAATCGCAGTGACTTTCTCAGACCTGTGCTTTAGTAATAGCCATTTGGCAGCCGTATGGAGGATGGATTGACAAGGGGAGAGGCTGGATGCAGAGAAACCAATTAGGAAGCTGTTGGAATAGTTCAGATGAGAGGAAATGAGGGTGCTAACCGTGTGAGTGGAGGGAAGGGGACAGGTGAGACGTGCTAGTGAAATCTATAAAATTGTTTGCATAAGAGAAAGTGGAGAGTCAAGATTGTGAACCTGGGTGATGGATGAATACCCTTAACAGAAACAAGGTTTAGGGAGAAAGAAAATGAGTTCTGATTTGAACAGGTCAACTTTGAAATATCCGTGGGACATCCAGATGGAAGTGTCCAGCAAGCTGCTGGAGATGGGAAACTGGAGCGGGAGCTCAGCAGAGGTGAAAAGTCGGATACTGCTGGCGGGGGGTGGGGGGTGGAGGGTGGGGGGCGGAGGGCGGGGAAAGGAATAACTCATTACTAACCTCCGGCAATTACTAGTTAGTGTGGGCTTACATTCTTTCCGTCTCAGTTTCCTCACCTCTAAAATAGATATGATAGCATTCACCTCTCGGGGTGGTTATAAGGATCAAATGAGATAATATGACCTAATATTTGCGAAGTTCTTTGCAAACGCTTAAAGGGTTATGGAATTATTTATTTATTTATTTATTCAGTTATTTATTAATTCATTCATTTATCTTTATCTATTTATCTATTTATTTGTTTGTTTATCTATTTATTTGTTCATGTATTCATTCATTCATTCATTCATTCATTTTTTATTTTTTATCGGAAACTGGCCTGGGGCACCTGAGGGACGTTTGTTGTTGCTCTGCCAGGCTGGAGTCGGGAACGTCAGTGACGACCACTGACCACTGGGGGGCAGAATGACTCCACAGTTGTCCGGACTGCATCCAGTCATCCAGGCTGAGATCCCTCCAGTCCCTTAGTCATGTCGCACACCCCGCACCCCGCCCTGCCTCCTCGCTCTTCCACCGAAGGCTTCAGCTCCTCCTAAACCCCGACGGGCGCTCGCTCGCCCTCAGGCCACATCTTCTAGGAGTTGGGATGAGATCCAGAAGCTTTGCTGCCCCAGTCCGAGTAAGGGAGGGAACCTTCAAAGACCCCCCGGTGGGGTACGGTCTTCACCGAAGCTCCCACACTGGGGGATCTGTATGCCCATCAATCCCGGGTGCTCCGTCTCCATCTCTCTCCTCCAACGTAGGAACCCGAGCGACCTAGAAATTCTCACTTTGTTCCTTGGGCAAGTCTTTTCACGTCTCTGGGCCTCAGTTTCCTCAACTGTAAAGTGAAAGGGTTGAACTTGACGGCTTCTGAGGTCTCTTCCAGCTCTACTCCTAAGACTATGATCCATCTCCCATGGCTCAGTCCTGGAGGGGAAATCACATACAGATGGAGAGCCTGAACTCCGGATTCCCAGCTCAACTCTCACCCTCTCTTCCCCTTCTCATTCTCCAACTCAACATTCCCATAAATCTAGCCCACCCCCGCCTCCAATTTTATCCTTGCAGATTCTCAAGTAAGCAAATGCTTCTCTCACCAGATGTTACAAGGTGGAAGGGAAAGGAAGGATAAGAGGAAAAGAGGGAGGAAGGGGACACAGCTGTTAGCGCACACACGCACACGCACACACAAACACCTCTTCAACAAACTTCCCGTCCTCTAGAAAGGCTTTCTCGCCGGTACCAGATCCCCAGGGGAGGAAGGGGACACAGAGGTAGGAGTGGTTAGAGGGACACCAAAGAAGAAGGGGAGGTGAAAAGACAGAGGCTGCCAGATTCCGGAGAGGAAGGAGTTAACGATCCCGGGATTGGCTCTTTTGTCACTGAGTCGGAGAGGGAAGAAGGGAGGGCTCCGAGTGCCTTAGGGTTCCAGGTCCTTCCTAGTCCCCTTAGGACAGACGGAGAGTTTGGCTGGACAACCCCTCTGCCCGCTGTGGCACCCTAGATCACAGACGCGCGCGCGCACGCTCACACCCCTCCTCCTTCCCTTTTCCCTTCCTTTCTTATCTTTCTCACTTCTCTCACCAGCACACACACACACACACACACACACACACACACACGCACACACGCACACACGCACTCACGCACGCACTTTCATACACTTTCACTCTCGCCCTCTCACCCACCTGCCCTCCTGCACCCTCCTTCTGAGACACGCTTATTCCCTGGCACACTAGCACTGTCTTCCCCTTCTGCTCACTCTCGCCCCTTCGAATTCGTCTTGTTCTCTTCCGGACAGAGGGGACACCCGGGGCCCAGGCGTCTCCCTGTTCCCCTCCCCGGAGATGGACACGATGCCTCACTGAGAGGGAAGAGGTTGCGTGGGGAGGGGAGGAGAGGGGAGGTGGTTGGGCGCTCTCTCTCTGCCCTGTTCTCTCCAGCTGAGGCAATGCGCGCCCCGAAGTGCCTCTCGGGCGCCCTCCTCCCCTTCCTCGTCCAGTTCGTCCTCCGGGGGTGCCAGGCAAAGAACCTGACAGTGGCCGTGGTTCTGCCAGTGACCAACACCACGTACCCATGGTCGTGGTCGCGCGTGGGGCCGGCGGTGGAGATGGCGTTGAAGAGGATGAACGAACGGTCGGACCTGCTGCCGGGCTGGACCGCGGTGCACCAGCTGGGCAGCAGCGAGGACCCCCAAGGGGTGTGCTCCGACAGCTGGGCACCCTTGGTTGCGGTGGACCTCAAAGTGGAATACAACCCGGCTGTGTTTCTGGGGCCAGGCTGCGTGTACTCCGCAGCTCCTGTGGGCCGCTTTACCGCGCACTGGAAGGTGCCGATGCTGACCGCCGGGGCGTCCGCTCTGGGCTTCGGCTCCAAGGACGAGTACGCCCTGACCACCCGCACCGGCCCGAGCCACGTCAAGATCGGGGACTTCGTGGCCACGCTGCATCAGGAGCTGGGCTGGGAGCGCCGCACACTCTTGCTCTACAACGACCGTCCCCCGGTCGGGGATGACCGGCCCTGCTTCTTTGCCATCGAAGGGCTGTACGTTCGGCTCCGGACCCGACTCAACATCACCGTGGACTACCTGCAGTTTGCCGAGGGTGACCTGGAGCTTTATAGCGCACTTCTGCGGGACGTTCAGCAAAAGGGCAGAAGTAAGGGGGTATTCTGAGACACCATGGGAAGAGCCCCCTCGGGAATGGGAGGCCAGCTTTGACCCCTACATCACCACTCCTACACCCTCAGGATCCCTCAAGCTCCCGACACATAAGGGCCTCCATCTCACAACCATAGTTTGCAGCCGCTGGCCCTTTCCCTTCCCTTCACCCTTCTTCCCCGTTCGACCTCCTCACCTCTCTTTCTTACATTGCTTTTTCTGTTCTACTCCTGTTTCTCCAGATCTTTCTCTCCCTTTCCTCTTTTCTTCTTTTCTCACCTACTTTCCTCCCATTTTCAACTCCTCATTCCTTCCCTGCTTTCCTATTTCCCCATCTTTCCTCTTGTCACTCTGTGTGGATTATGTCTTCTATCCTCATCTACTCCTTTCTTCCTCGAGTTTGTCCAACTCTCCCATACTCCCTGTTTTCCCCATTTCCCTTTTCTCCTCTCTTTCCACCCAGTCTTCTGACCACCTCTCTTCCAATACTCCCTGGACCCTCTGTCTTTCCTGGTTATCTCTCCTTTCTCCACCACAGGTTCAGTTTCCTCTCTCCTTTTTCAATTTCCACTTTCTCCTTCCCACCTTTTCTATTGTTACTTTAGTAGTGGGGAGGTCAAAGAGTCCTTGTTGCCTTCATCTCAACTTCTTCCTGTCCTCCTTCCCCTGCCATAGCCCAAGCTGAACCTGGAGATACTGCTTACCTGGGGTGGGGAGAAGACTCTAAAATAAAGGATT